TGTTCATCGATAAAATGATGAATTTTAATTATTAATCTATGCAGCCTTAATGGCTGAGTCTTCAACATGAAACAAGTATCTTGGAATCATCTAGCCATTTGTGTAAGATTTCTCTTCAACACAAGTACATATAAGAGTATACCGAGTTGAATCTTATTAGAAGAATCTCTTTAATTTGCCTCATGATAATCCAATACGTATGAAACTCGTCTCATTTTTCTCACAAAAAAACTTGTTCAATTACTTTCAGCACCGAAATGTACATAAAACGTACGAGACGATTACAGCGCGATGGGCACCACAATAAACGAGGAGTATTAATCGAGCGAAACAACGCCACACATAAGACTCTGATCGGATCAAATTATCAGGTGTATAGGCAAGAAAAAAGAAAAAAAAAAAAAAAGACGCAAGCCCGCTGCTCGTACTCGAAAATTACCCCGACAAACCTCAAGCACCGCGCACTGTACACGCTCATGCACCTGCTTCGCGAAAATAAAGAAGACAAGTGCCCTCCTTATTCCAAGCGTACACGAGTGGGCAAAGAGCAAAACAAGCTCTCCAGGGGTTTTTTATTAAATCACACGATACCGCCATTAAAAACGTAGCCTCGCGAGTACACGCACACAACGATACGAAGCATCCTTTTTCCACGTACACGTGTATACACGAGGCTACGGCAAGTGGCCCACGAGCTGCGTATCAATCAGAGCGCGTATATGTACTGCGGATAATTCCTGAGAACCTCTCTCTGGTTTTCTCTCGTGGCATCATACACCTAACTAACCAATTGTCCGGGTGGATTTATTTCCCCCATATACACCACTCGAGAAAACTCTGGCCGTGATTATATTCATACACGCGTACATCGGGGCCCGCTGATTTATCAGTCCTTGACTAACTGCGGAGGAAACCTCTGGATTCTGGGCTACTCCACCTTCCCCGTCGATCATTGACGAATGGTCGGGGTGATTATATCGGAGGCGAGCTGTGGGGTCGGAGACTGTGGATTTTACCTGACCTTCGCTCTCTCCCTTTCTCCCTGTCGAACGTTTCCAGATAGACTTGGTTTATTAAAGATTTTGTTTGTTTCATAATACGCGGGTACGTGTGTTCGCGTGATAGGTGACGGTGGTAATTTATGTCGATGGCGTGCGATTCCTGGAAAACAAAGTACCCTCGATCCGACGCGAATGTAAAATAATGTTACTTTATCCACGCCTACAACTACACGCGCACACACTATCCGACCGTGATTCCGAGCGTCCTCATTGATAAATGTTTACACGCGAGTCGTGAGCTCGCCCATGAATCATCTCCATCTCGGAGCTGCCCTATTATTACGCTATCATCGCGTTTCGCCGTACATACACTCGTCTCCGATCTTTTTTCTTTTTATTTCCTTTTTGTATACCTTTTTTTCCACGCCAGTAAGATATAATGTCTTTGTTCCTTTTGCACATATACCCCTTGACAATCAATTGGCCTTGAATTAGCATTGAGTGAATTTGAATCTGAACTATGACAACAATGCGTTCATGGTAAGCGTGTGTTTGAATCAGTATTAGTTGTAGAGACAGACGATACGGGGAGCGAAGAAAAGCGGAACTAAAGAGTATACGTACCGGTCCAAGGCGTGGAATTGACGAGATGAAGGGGGGAAGAGATGAGGCAGCGTCTGTTTGGTCGTATATATCGGCAGACGAAGCAAAATCGAGGGACAAAAGGTTGTATACCTGTACTCGTGTATACGATCCTTGGACCTTTTTATCCCTTTTTTTTGTACTCTCATGTGCACACACGTATATATACGCACACGCGTGCGTCCTGGTGCTTTTCTCTCGTGCGGGGCATCGCGATACATCCACTGCCGACTACATCTTACTCGTCCGTGTAATTCCCCTCGTTGAACCTGACTTTTATTATTTTCTTTATTGCATCGCGTTTGCTTGCTTGTTGTTCGCTCCTCTTTGTTTTTTATTGCTCGATTTTTGAATCGTCGGGTGAAAGGGGGGGGGGGGGATTAACCCAGGATGATCGGTAAGGGGCGGTGCTCGTATACTTGTTATATTTTTTGTTTTCTTGCTTTAATCGCTTTGTGGTGTATAAAAAAAAATTACTGTGTGCTTAAATCTTGGAGAAGCACAAACTATTTTAAAATTTGAGTGATGACAGAATCAATATATATTGTCCAAAGATTATTGGGTACATCGTTACTTCGAATACTGAATACTATGGAAATCGTTGAGCATTAATGTGCCGAATATTTTATAATTTTAACAACAACCCAAAATTTTTTCGTATTGCTTTGTTAATAACAGAGTTCTAAAAAAAAAAAAAAAATTGCGTACACGCCAGTAAAGACTCATATGTCCTAATTCTCAGATATTAAAAAAATGCCAGCTCAACCCACTTTGGAACATTAAAAGTGAAAATCAGACACGAGTCGTGCGGAAGAGCGTATGTGAAGCGAAGCCGATGTCACTGAACGCCCGTCTAGCACGAAGCATCTAAACGCTGGGAGAAAAGAATAATAAATGAATCCCTTTACCCGAGCGATTTACGTGCATAAACTGTACGCAACTATATGCGTACAGAACAGTGCGCGAGCGTTTGTTTTTCCTGGGCGAATATAGTTTACTTTATGGGCGCTATTTCAATTTTTTCCATATTTACAAACAAGGCATAGATCCCCCCCCCTTTTTTAAAAATGATAATTGCGCAGTATAAGCTAAATGTAAAATAAATATGTAGTACATTTGAAGCGATAAAGAAAGTTGGCGTTTCGATAAAGTTTGGTACCGGTTGGAGTTCTTTTGTAATGTTATTGTATAAGTTTATCTCTTCCATAAAAACTGAAGTAAATGTTCTAACGTGGCTCTTATAGAAAGTAAAGACTTATTGAAATGCCTGTGTTTATAAAAATTTACATTAAAATGTTAAATGTTTTTTAATGCTATTTAAAAAGTTTTTGATTACGCACCTTATTCAATTTGTCGCATCGTATTCTTGAGCGAGAACTTTAAAAGAATGAAGACAGAATGTATGTGTTTAAATGATGTTTTTATTATGTGTAAGCCAATCATTAACAAATTCCTACTACATCATTCAATACCAAAGGTGCATCAATTACCAACTATTCTTTCAACAAAAAAAAATTATATTTAACCCCACTTAAAAGATCCACCGATGCCAACTTGGCTTTGGGGTCCATGTCCAGGTAGCTTATTAGATCCACCGCTCACGTGAATGCTGCCATGCTTGTTTTCCCAGATTTTTTGTTGAGCTTCGACATTCCACGATGTCTTGCCACCCTCTTTTTTAGCGTTTATGGATATTTGGCCATTATTGTCTGGTGATCTACGGGGGCGCTAAAGAACACAAAAAATCAAATCATTGTAAAGATGTACAAAAATAACGATAAAAATCATTACAATTACTGTAATATAGACTTACAGGATTGAATGGACCTTGGCCTGGGAAACTGGGAAATGGTGGTCGATTTGGGTGGGGTTTCACCACTGGTGGCCGATAAGCTTCAATTGAGATGACAGCTAGCGTAGCTAGTAGCAAAAGGGATACGAGGAACTTCATTGTCATCTATCTGAAAATAGCGTTTGTTGTTGTACAGAAATTTGCTGAGTAGTGTGTGTTGGTATAACAAATTTTAGTTTCTGTTTTCAATTATGTTTTCGATGTAGCTTATTTATTATTCAACAATTTTGGATTATCGTAAATGTATATGTCTTACCAGTCAATTTTCGGTAGTCAATAGGTAGACTTGTACTGCTTCCAAGACGAGACTGAATAACGTCGCTGTAAATGTCCTTTTATACGTGTTGTAATTATAATAATTTTTTCCTCATTCCATTTCCATTTTCCTTATGTAAAATTATATTGTGTATTTATCGTTCTTAGAATGTTTCTTTACTTTCTTTAATCCATTCAAAATCATTGATTGACAAATTACGCGAGAAATAAACATCTGCGGGGCATTACCGTCGTACATTTACTGAAGTATAGATGTATATAATGTGGCTTATCGTCTGGTGGATAATGAGATGATATGAACTCATGCTCATCTGATTTTATAATTTCCTCCCAAATGTTTTACTTGTATGTAAAATTTTTTTTACGTAAATTATTAGTTTTTGTTCTTCTAATTTTGTTTTTACACAAAAAAAAGACTTGATGAGTTTTGAATTAAAATCTAATTTAATAAAATGTTATCTTGTATTGAATTTGTATGGGAATTACTGAAGTACAATTTTTGTCTGTAATTATTTTATTTTTTAGTTAACCTTATAGAATGTACTTCGAAGTATTTGCAATTGTCATCATGAGAAATTACTATCGCAGCTTGATACCATGTAGTCCACTTAAGTTTTTGTATAAGCTATACAGCAATAAATACTATTTATTTTCAAACAAATTATTGTACAAATAATCTGATCAGTTAAAAACAAATCTTGACCGAAAGTATGCATTTCAAACTTTCATAGAAAAATTAATATGAAATTCATATGATACAACACGGTGACAGATCATTATCTGATGAAAATTTAGAACTTGACGCCAAGTATTAGAGTTATTTGTTAATTAACTTACGTATTTTTTAACTACGTAAAGCTGCTGATCACAGTTGCGTAACCACCTTGATAAAAACGGTGAAGTCCCGCAGGTGTTTACTCTCTCTACATAATATGATAATCAAAAATTTTGAGCAGAACAAGGAAAAATCAATTAAGATTTTAATACGTATAAAAAGACATTTTGGGCAAAGTTACTCAGTATCGTCTTGGAAGCAGTACAAGTCTATCTATTGACTACCGAAGATTGACTGGTAAGACATATACATTTACGATAATCCAAAATTGTTGAATAATAAATAAGCTACATCAAAAACATAATTAAAAACAGAAATTAAAATTTGTTATACCAACACACACTACTCAGCAAATTTCTGTACAACAACAAACGCTATTTTCAGATAGATGACAATGAAGTTCCTCGTATCCCTTTTGCTACTAGCTACGCTAGCTATCATCTCAATCGAAGCTTATCGGCCACCAGTGGTGAAACCCCACCCAAATCGACCACCATTTCCCAGTTTCCCAGGCCAAGGTCCATTCAATCCTGTAAGTATATATTACAGTAATTGTAATGATTTTTATCGTTATTTTTGTACATCTTTACAATGATTTTATTTATTTGTTCTGTAGCGCCCTCGACCAGGCCCATTTATTCCTGTAAGTATATAACGATTGTCAAGTCATTTTTATGGTTATATTAGTACCTTTTTTATGACATCATTTTACGTTTTCATGTGTTCTTTAGCGCCCCCGTAGATCACCAGACAATAATGGCCAAATATCCATAAACGCTAAAAAAGAGGGTGGCAAGACATCGTGGAATGTCGAAGCTCAACAAAAAATCTGGGAAAACAAGCATGGCAGCATTCACGTGAGCGGTGGATCTAATAAGCTACCTGGACATGGACCCCAAAGCCAAGTTGGCATCGGTGGATCTTTTAAGTGGGGTTAAACATGCCTTTCTTCTGTTGGTTAAACAATACTTATGAATTGAAGTTTTTTACGTCAGATATAAAATTGTGTATGTCAAAGTTTACGTTGATTTATGTTCCTTATATTTATATGAAATGAGGTTTATTCAATAAAGAATAAAAATTTAATAGTAAAATAATGACACATTGTAAGTTGTTTGTCTATATTTATGCTAAGATTATCTTGCATCTGTGACAATGTAATTTATTATCATAAAACTCACCTAGAAATGACAGCTTGGAAAAGTATAGTAATGAATTCGGAGTCACTACAGAAAAGAACAGAAGCAGATATTTAAACTTCATTTCCATTTAATCACATTAATTTCTGCTAACATTGAAAAATGTCGCGTTTGAGAGAATTCTGGTTTTAAAACTTTCAACGTAATGTTCTAGTTCTTTTTTAAATTGATCTTTTAAACGGTTTACCCAGAACAAGTGACCTGAATTAGTTATTATTGATAAAGAAATATAACTATCAGCTTAGTCAGTTTATTACTCAAGTATAAAACGTATACGTAACCAGTCGATGCTGGAAAAACGAAACTTCTTCGCCATACGCAATTACAAGATAAGCTATACTGCCTGTACCTCATCGACTTTGCTGCAGTTGGTGTACACGGAGTATCTACACAACTATAGAGAGTGAGCGCCGTATCCTGCTTTTTCTGCACCAGTAGAAAATTATGGGATTTACACAGGATTCAACGACTAATTCGAGGCAGTATTGGATTGCCTCAAAGGCCGTGTACCTAGATCAGTAGTGGTACAAAATTTTAATGTACACGCGTACGCGAGAAATGACGTACAGAAAATGACACGAGCAGAAGAGGAAGAGGGAGAGGATCAATTAGAAAAAGAAGAATTGGAAAGAAAAGCTCGGAGAATTCGTGTGCGAGAAAAAGAATAAAAACAATTGGAATGTGAGTGACATTGGGGAAGGAAAAAACGAGGCAAGGGGTATGAGAAAAAAAAAATTAACATGACACGGGTGAGACAGATCTATCCTGAAGGCAAGGGGGAAGGGAGGGGAAATCATGTTTTTGAGGAGAGAAAAAGAGAGCAAGAAAAGCAGACGAGCCAAGTGAAAAATGTACGGTGGAATCGAAAAACGAGCGTTTGTTTGGCTGATGTGTATATGTACATGTGCCTGTGTAGACGCAAGGAGAGGGTGTCGCTGTTTCGGTGCTGTACATTGTGTGCACAGCCCCCTTGAATCGCAAGGATTACAACGAAGTCCAATTAGTCCAAGTGTTGGATGCCTGTTTTGCACTCTCCATCTCTCTCTCTGTTGCTCTTTTATTCTTATTTTATACTGCTTTCAATTTCGACTGAATGTGCAAGGTAAGGTAATATCTATACAAATTCGGATTTCCGTCATTTAGCTTGAAGCCAATGTTGCTTAAAACAGGTTAAGTGAAGTAATACCGATGTCTTACAAAAATGTTGATAGTTTGTTGATTGTCTTATTGGTGTGACGAATATTTATTAAATGGGGTTGCAGCTAATTAAAAATAGTAAACTGTTTCGAGTTATCTAACAAGCGTGTATCTACTGCGGAACGTTATCCTTTCATCAAAAAAATCAGGTTTCGTTCAGGATATCTACATTTCCTACGAGTGATAGTATAATCAGCATGTAAAAAAAAAAAAAAAAAAAATTGAGATAGCGATCGTAGTAGGAGAGGAACACGCGATACACGTTATTCTACTAAACGTTCGGACTCTGAGTCATTTCACCACTCGGACCCTCTTGTTCTACGAGCTCCTAATGAGGAGTATCTATTACACGGTCATAGTGTATGGCTCTCGAAGCCTCTTCCTTTTTTCGGGACAATCAGGACAGATAGCATCGCTCACGCTGAGAAACACGTGTAATCTCTCCCCAGATTACGTCGTACGATATCTTTTCCACTTGATTTTTTTTTGACGTCTCTTTCGTTCTACTGATTTTTTTTTTTTTTTTTCTCCGACAATACATTGAACCGGGATAGGATTTTATATTTTCTACTGGAACAAAAAATGCAGCAACCAGAAGTTTTAACCAAGATTATAGAGTTGGTTTCAACCATCATTTCGGAAGATATAAAAACTTCTTAACAATTGAAAAACTTTCAATAAATATGATAACAACAAAAGAAAAATATCAGACAAACGTGCAAAACTGGTGCACTATAATATTATAGTTTTTGTGCAATAAATTTATAATGGCTGATTTGTTAATCACCCTGAGAGTAATATAATAGTCAAGAAGTCTTAGATAAAAGCTACGAAAAATATCATTACTGTGACTACAAAGTTTTGGAAAAAACTGTTTATAGATTAGCTGGTCTATTCGAATAGTTTTTTGTAAGCCTTTGAGATATTTTCCTGTATAAAAATCAATCCACGTGTTTATCCATGCAAACAAGTTCACCGTTTTCTTAGCCGCACAACCACAATCAAAATGATACCGCAAGACACAAACAGATTCGCCGTCAAATGGAATTAATCCTGGAGCAGGGGAGGATTAAACGAAGAAGTATCCATTGCATTATACATGTACAGGATCGCATTGTTCCGTTAGTCGAAGGAAACTTGCTTTGTTTATAACCTGCGGTTAACCTCGTGGCAGTAGTCCCTGCAACTATTCCGAGCCCCCACAAACACAGGAAGTTATCCGACCGATGGTTTAAGCTTAACTCCCTGACAAATGGTGGAATGCATTTCAAATTAGGTCAGCGCGCGATTACCGTTTCATAAGCAATCGCCACCTCTGCCAACTCGACCGCTCCGCTCTCGTCCTCGTCCTCGTCTGTACATCCGTATATTTATGTTTACATCGTACTCGAGGAGGAGAATGTCAAATCAGTTGAAACTCGCGGGGTAGTTTTTACGAGTAATTGTCATTGTTTTTTCTTACTTTCGAACGTCGGCATTGTTAGCATTCGGTTGATTTGGCAATCAACTTGTTAGATTTAATTTATGGACACCGCAACGGACAAGGGCTCAAGCGTCAATGAGCTTCATGTAGAGGGGAAAGTGAAGTGCGAGCGATTAACAATAATTATCAATTGGATTGGTGGAAAAACATTTGCATACTCCTATGTAGTACCCTGAAAAAACTCCAATTTCGAAAACGCAATTTCCTCCCGGGGAATTAATCAATGGGAATTGGATTTATTCGCGGCTACCCGTCGTAGTCCAATTCGCAGTTACATTTTTCACGTTAGAGCGCATACACACACAAAACAAAGACCCAACAAAGTGTTTGTATTGGTCTAACAAACCATCAATCGGCAGTGCACCTTAAAGTCAATAGCGTCCGAACGAAAACTGATTTACCGGTGTTTACCCCCCCCCCCCCTACTACCCTTCTACATTGCCAACAGCGCAATTTAGCGTTGCGAGTTTTGTGTTTATAGGTAGAAAGTACACACGTATATGCATGTACGTATATTTAAGGGGCGTGCAGTATAACATGCATTCGGAGTCCCGAAAATTGGCATCCACGCAACATTACTGATGTTCTCGTGTTGTGTGAATGTGTATGTGTACACACATTTATATTTATGCACGAGAACGCCCAATAGTAGCCAAAACTATCTTCTACTGGCGTACACGTACACATAGAGAAGCTATATGTCATTGGTTGAGGGACGAGGGGTTTAATATTGTTCTCACTTTGGGATGGATTCAATCACGAACACCGTCTTCGCTTCTGTACGTACGTATATGTATATGTGGTCCAACGTCAGACTACATTGGTAAGCTACGGTTGAGCGAGCACGACCGCTACTTTGTTATCGGAGTAGAAGAGCGGGATATAACTCGTGGTCATGATTGTTGAAGGTGTTCGTGGATTAGAGTTGGAAACTGGGGCAGTGCTTTTTCTTTTGCTATGGATCAAGTGCTGATGGATATTTCAATGACTATTGGCTACTATTACATGCTGCTTCTGTTGTATTCATGATAACAGAATCGGACACATATCTAATACAACTTCATCATTATTGAGATACTCACGATTGTAATAAGATTCTTGATAGCATATCAGTGGTGTATACTGAATTCATCACAAAAGTTTCTGTGCTTATCAATGCTCCTCAAAATTTTGGCGTAAATGATTGGACGTACAAGTGCAGATTTTTATCTCGATTATTTATCCGTTTTCTGTTTTGATACTTTTCATGTCACATCAGCTAACGTAGCTTCTGATGGTGAACCATTAACTGTGTTGATTGCCTGTTACATTATCCTGTCCATACCATTAATTCTTAACCATTACTGTGATAACTCACCACTGTCTAAATTTTTTTCATAAAAATACGTTTTATAAAGTCCTACTCGTTAATATAAAATGTATTTGCAATTTTATTTTATCCAACCATCATTTAAAAATTTTGCTCTTTCAGAAGCTTATTTATTTATTAATTTTTTATATTCTCACCTCATGTTATTTTTTATACAGAAAGTAATGTCAATAGACTGTGTATATTAACCAATAAATGAGAAAATAAATGAACGTATAAAAATATACATATAAGCAAAGAAAACATGTACCTCTACTGCGAACTTTAAATTATCAGCACACATGCCCACGCACAACCACTAGTGCACTAACTATATCGAGTTAAACTTTTTTCGCTAATTGTTGCGCTGATTCGATTAGAAGTTCAAACTTTGGGAGTCCAAGCTACCAGCGGAAGCCAGAAAAGAAAATTGTCTTGCCAAGTCCAACGCCCGGAGAACTTTTTCTCTCGCTTTTATATTCATTAGCGTTCCGATTGCGAATCGAAGGCGATTACCGGCTCCGAAAAAATAAAAACTCTGCCGCGCGAGTTGCGCAACAACACCCATCTTTTCCGAACAGCAGCAAACCAGGACCTCTGTTTACACGGAGTTTTCCAAATCCTGCGACAACAGCGCAATTGTATGTACATCCCACTCCTGTAATTGCTGGCTATACAGTGGCGACACTGGGAGCTTAGCAAAATTAACAG